ATTCGGCCCATCGAGCTCGCTTGGGGAGAACTTAACTAATAGCTCAGAGTTGTTAAAATCTTATCTAGCTCTGATTTAAAGGAACCCAAGGATTGGTCTATAACAACATGCAGAAGACAAAAAGAATTACAAAAAAGGTGTTAGGTGTTCTTTTATGCTTCAGAAAAAGAATCTGTTTAGCACAATTTTTCCACTAAATCCTTACTGATTGTACTGATTGAAAAATAACGGTTGTCAAAAGTTTAAAATAAGCGGTTTCTCTTGGCATGAGACTCACATCAAACGTTACCAAAAAAAACTGTGTACATTTGAAGTGAAACCAAACAGGACTGATAACACAAGATCCGCAAGTTATCTTGTAATCCGTGCAACACATATAATCATTAATGGGCTACTATCCCCTCTTTTACAGATATTCAGAGCCAGGTATTATGGATGAATGTGATGAATTTGGGACTATTTTCTTGAAAGGCCATATAATCACAGCTGCCTTACTGTCTGGCATCTCTGTATTTCAGTCACACATAACTGAAACCTTCCACCTTCTTCTGCTTTTTAACATTGTGCTGTAAGTAGCACCTTCGAATTCTCATGCAGCGATTTCCGTCATACAAACATGCTACAAAATAGCAAAGACAAAATAACAATAACAGCAAGTCCCCCCTTGAAGTTGTGCAACACGACGAATAACTTTTAGAGGCTAAAATTGTGGACATTTCCTTTAGCGCAGCAGCAATACCAGACAGGAAGTACTGGTGGTAATGGCGGTCGGTCTGCTGATACCACACTGCCCATAAGTTCCCATGCTTCACACATTGCTGTGGGTGCCGTCAGCAGCCAGTGCCGCAGGCTGGTCCTACCTCAGGCTGGCTCTCCGAGCTGACCGAGGCCAGCAGGTCCAGCATGGCCAGTGCCCCCCCGGGGTGGATGATCACCACGTCGGAGGAGGGCTGCGCGCCATTTCCCAGCTGAAACTTCAGGTCGGCCACCACCTTGGAGGCAGGGGGGGCGGCGGCCGACATCCCATAGCCGTGTCTGAGGGGACAAATAGTCCAGGGCACCAGTGACAATGAGAAACTGCAGATCACCCCAAGAGAAGACTTCTCCGAGACAACAGAGGCTGAACAAAGCTCGAAACTTAAATAACTTTTTACTGAAAACTACACGGGCAATACAAAAGGCTGAAAAACATGAAACGTCTACCACTACCGAGGTGAAGAAGCAGTACACACAAGATAAACACTCAATCCACACACTTCTCAAAAATGATGATGGAGAACATAAAGAATCTTGAAGAGGCCTCTTTGCACGTATGGTCTCTTAAGCTTCCTTGTCCTACAGTAAGTGCTCAGAACTCCATCTTCAGCATCGACTTTGTAACGCGCAATTTATGGGCAAATTATTTATTTTTATGTAATGAAAGAGAGAGTCTGTGCAAAGGATGATATTCATTACTTAAAATAAAGGATCTGAACTGGTTTATCCTCAGGATCCAGATTTCTCCTGGGTCATTAAGCTACAACCCAAATTTTTATAAATACTCAACCAAAATTTAAGTTTGAAATAATGCAGTAGTAAATATAATGTTATCTAAAAAGGAGAAATTACCTTTTTGGGGGGTGCAAGGTAATATTTGGTGATCGGGGGGGCTGGAATTTGTCACGCAAAAAAAAAAGAAAAATACCATTGGAAAAAAATTGGAAATAATTTATCCTGCACTCTGCCGCCTACTGCTGGGTCACCACCCACCAGAAACAGTGATTTCACTGGGTCTTCCAGTGCAAACACAAAGCGCAATATGAATTCCTGGTGACCTGCAGGTTCAGCTCCACCAGAATATATGGTGCGTTCCATTTGTCCTCAGAACTCGGATTCTGAGTCGGATTCCGAGTTTTGAAGCCGGAAGTGACGACATGTGCGCTCCCGTTTTTCGGAGATCTGAGAAATATCTCGGAGCAGCACAGAGGATCCCGAGTTCAGAATCCAAGATGGCTGCGCCCTTTATCAACAGAAGGGAAAGTTGTAGTTTTATACTGTTTAAGTACTACTTCTCATTTGTGGCTCATTAAATCGGTCGCACACACTATACCGTCCAACTTATCTGTGGACGTGTTGCTACTGAGTTTTATACATAAAGCACCCAAGCGTAATATGTTATCAACTGATACTGAACACCACCACCTTCACAACGAAAGCCTTCACTTCCTTTGAAAGCTGAAGAAGGCCAGCATGTCTCCTCCCATCCTCACGTCATTCTACCAGGGGACCATTGAGAGTGTCCCTCTCCCAACCATATCCCACCTGTACGAAAAGCACATCATCCGTCGTGCGAAGGACACTTTAGTTGGAACTAGTTCGTTTCTATTATAGACGCACCGATACCGATATTCGGATCGGTATCGGCGCCGATCCAGACCTATTTGACGGATTGGGTATCGGCCATGCGTGACCGATCCACGTCCTATACTTACTTATTTAGTTTTTGACAATCAATCGCACGACAGCTCTTTCAAATTTAACATGAGTTTTTTTTGCGGCATACAAATCGAACGCTATCGCTGTCTTTTTTGCTACTCAGTGGGTATGAGTACAGTGACTTCCGCCTGCTGTGACGTCATGCGCATACCCTTCGCAGTACATGGAGCGTAGGATAAGACGTGATGATCTGGGAGTACGCTTTTAACAGAAACCAGTAGCACAGCTATTTGCAATCTATGTAAAATAAAGTTTTGAGGTGGGAATAGCGTTTAATGGACAATCCCATTCATCAAAGCGCGCGCAACTGCGAGACAAAACAAAGCAATGGATGATTTGGGAGTCGCTAACTTAATTGGACTGTTTTGCGAACTCACTGTAGCTTGTGATACAAGAGGGGCTGCCATCGCAACAAAAGTGTAACTGCGCTGACGGCAATGAGAGAAAAACTGTGTTCGCCACTTGTGTATACTTACTTTGAAGATATTCATATTGAACTGCAAATGCCTCAAAAACGCTTAAAACAAATGAGATGGAACAGTACGTTATGTATGTTTGTAGTAGCCTAATTAAATATTTTTTGTCATACATTTTTTTCGATCTGTATTCACTAGCTTAAAAAAAATTATATATAAAGTATAACAAAGTAAAAAGAGCTCTTGTATCGGTATCGGCAGCTGTGTAACCGGAACGGATCGGAACTGAAAAAATGTGGATCGCCCATCTCTAGTTTCTATTCATAAAACTTTAGTTAGATTCATTATTTATGTGAAATTTCTGTTTTATTTTTTTTGGTATATTTTATATCTTTATAATGCACCATGGAGGACCTGTGTGGAACGACATTTCAATACACTGTATACTGTGTATATTGTTGTATTGGCAATAAACCAATCTTGAATCTTGAATAGTGCTAACAATGGCTAACAATTAACCGGGCTAGAATTGTATTTCACGATTAGTCGGATTATTTGTCGGATTTAAGTACGTAGTTCGGGCTAATTGTAAGTGAACGAAGATAAAAGCCATTTAAACTGAGGTACCTTAAATCTGACAAGTTGCCCGGCTAAGGGTCCATGGTATTGCTTCTGTGGCGAATGGAACGTATCCGACTCGGTTTTCCCTGAGTTTTTAGCGGATGTGACAATCTTGACAACCGAAACTCGGATCCGAAGGCAAATGGAACGCACCAATAATCCGCATCGTTCCTCCATGAGAGGAGAAGCAGCCTTTCGGTTAAGAAGGCCCTCAGTTTGACTCACGCTTTAGTCCCCTTCAGATATGTCAGGCACTATGTATATACACACACCACACTGCACAGCCCGGCCTGCACTGCGTAAGGATAGCTGGAGGCTCTGCTAAATGCATCCCGAAAGGAAGCAGCCAAATAAATAAACAAATACACAAGTTAGGCAGGCTCAGACAGTGATACAGCTGCCAGATTAAATCAACTGCTTCCAATAACATAAGGAAAAAAGTGGGGGAAAAACTCTTATTATTAAAACTATAATCATCACTATCGTTATCACAACCAAATACAGGGTCCTGGTGAGCCTGGCACCTATCACAAGCCTGTCAAAGCAAAGGACAACCTGAACAAGATTATCACTATCAATAATTGACTGTAGAATATTGAATTAGGCTTGTGCTGCACTGGCAGCAATCAAAAATTTTCATCCCGCTTTTGTCAGAAAAAGAAATGGATAAAAGACGCATTATCACTCGCAGTTTAGTCTCGGGGATCCTCACTGCGGCGACACTGTCATGGACCCAGAGGAAGTGTTTTGCGACCACGTCAGCTGACAGTTATCTAGATGAGCAATAACATGAAGTCTGATTTGACAAACCGTGAACCGGGCTCTGCCACAGCAGCTGCTCATTTCTGCATGTACGCATTTGTGAAACGCGGGCAAATTCACGTGAAAATTAATCCAGGTGCTGGGAACTACTGGGCAATCTTCACCCCCACCACATGTCTGATGTTGAATAAACAATTGTGTATGAAAGATTAATTCAAGATTAAGTTATTGTACATCACGTCTGGATATAAGTGTCTGCTAAAACAAATACATGAAGTCAAAGACATAAATTCCATGTATCATTTTCTTATGAACCAGTCTGGGAACATAAGCACTGTGAATGTATCTAGTCACATCTAAATAAACACACTATTAACCCGTGACAGTTTTTCGTAATACGACATTTGCATGTCGTTCTTAAGAAACTAACACACATTAAGTCGCTAAAGTAACAAGAGATGCTATATCAAAAGAAAAAAAATGTACTGTAGCTAGCTGAGACCTAATACTTTTCACCATGTTAGGACACATTGTAGATGTTTGTAATACTCCCACATCTAAATAGACCCAAGAGAAAAAAAATAGTATCTCATAACTTGACTGAAGTTAACATCAAGCATTAATGTCAAAAACTGAACTCAGTCCATTTTTTTGTTATTGTTTTTAAGTTAAGCCCTCCAATGACTTACAGACAGGCTTCCTCACTGTATGCTACTGTACTTGGAACCAAAACTCACTCCACAGAAATTTTCTTGAAAACGTATCCTGTTGACTGAGTTTTGTTAATTTGCCCTTCGATTATAAATGCAGGCGGGAAAAGGAAAATAGCAGAACAGCACTTGAGAGAAGTGCACAGATTCACCTTCCAAATTAACAGGAGTCAGTAAGTGACAGGTCCCGGACTGTTCTGCATAAAGCAAAAGCAATAAAAATTCAATAAGGAAATAGAAGCAGGGAAGTTTTATCTTTATGCAAAGTACGAAGCGGACTATCAGCATACTTAAGCACAAACTGGCAGACGGGGAGAGGAAAAAAAATACAACTGCAAGCTTTGCATGGGAGGGGGCAAGAATGGAATTAAAAAATGATCAAGAGGCTGTGACTCGCCAATGCAGAAGAGACAGAAGAGTGATGGAGGAAAAAAAGGAAGGACTGGCGAATGTGAGTGGAAGAGAAAACTGCAGAGTGCGGTACCTCTTCCGGGTGAGCGCTGGCGTTCCCCAGGGGGAGGGCAGGGAGCTCTCATGCGTCAGGCAGGGGGGCACCTGCTCAGCACGGCTACACACACACAGCAGGCGACAGCCAGGCAACGCCGGGGGGGGCAGGGGGGTTAGAGAGAGAGGAGAGAACAGGGACGGAAGCAGTTAGTGTCTGGTGGAGAATGGTGATCCGAGAGGAGAGCCGCAGGAGGAGGGCAGGAGAGACATGCATGTTTCACACACACACACACACACACACACACACACACACAGACAGACAGACAGACAGACAGACCGCAAGACGCACCTGCAGATAGGAGTGCAGGAGAGACATGCGCGCGCGC